AGAGTAATATTCCCGACCTCAAGGACAAAGATGAATTTTTAATTTTTTGAAGGAAAAAGGGGTAGTTCCTCCCAGTACCTCATATACTGCCATGAAAGCCCGAAAACTAATAAAATAGGGGTTTGTTAAGGGTATTGTGTAATGTGATAACTGAACCAACTATACGGACATTACTCTAAGACAAATAATACCATTGGTAGGGGATTTTCCTGATGCATTTCCGATGAAATTACCCGCCACTTATTGATAGAGAGATTTGAATTTACAATTGAATGTAATACCGGGACTCAACTAATTCTAAAAAAACTCCCTACTGTATTCTGCCTGAAATGAAAGAATTGAAAACTCAGTTGCAGGATATTGGCTTGGATAAAAGGGTTTTACAGACCGAGTAACATCCCAAGGGGTGCAACCAGTTACCTTTTTGTGAAAAAGAAAGACGGGCACTCTTCGATTGTGCATTTCATTTACTAAGAGCTCAACAAGGTAATGGTGGAAATAAATATCCCTTTTGCCGCAGTATTAATGACCCTGTTTGATCAGTTGCAGGGGGCAAACAAAGATATTTCAAAATTGGAACTTAAGATCGGGAATATTCATCAAACTGAAAGTTAAGGCTGAGGACATTGAAAAGACTGCTTCCAGACCAGGTTGGAACATTTATTGATTTTTTAGTATGCCTTTGGGAAGTAACAAATGCGCACCGCAACATTTAATGGATTTAATGAACAAGGATCTTTCAAAACCTTTCCTGGACGTACTTTATTGTTTGTAATTCATTGATGACATCTTGATTTATTCGAAAGATAAAGAGAGGCATGAATGGGCAATTTGAATCTAATCTTCAACACTTGAGAAAAACAGTTATATGGGAATTAAAAAGTGTGAATTTTGGCTTGATAAAATAGCATTTTTGGGGCACATCATTAATAAGGTGGTATATTTGTGGATCCTCATAAAATTGAAGCAATTTTAAATTGGCCTACCCCGACTAAATGTATCAGACGTTCATAGTTTTATGGGATAGGAAAGGGTATTGATCGACAGATTTGTTAGAGACTTTTCAAAATTGCTGTGCCATTGAACTCAGTTTGACCTCGAAAAGGGAACTATTTAAGTGGCAGATCAAAGAGAAACAGCCTTTCAAGAAGTTGAATACCAAGAATGACTACAGCCTTAATCCTTATTATTCCTCAGGTATTGAAGGTTTTTTGTGATCTTTAGTGTGCTTTATAAGGGCTTGGGTTGTGTTTTAATGGCGAAATGGCAGGGTGAATGCATATGCCTCTCGACATTGAAGACTAACAAACAAAAAAGAACCTACCCTACACACGACCCTAGAACTTGCTGAACAATTGTGTTTTTCCAATTAAAAATAGTGGCGTCTTATTGTTATGGACCAAATGTGAAAGTGTACACAGATCATAAGAGCTTTCAAAATACTTCTTCACAGATGCAGAAAGGTTGAACATGCGTCAAATGATGGCTTGAAAAACTAAATCCAAAGACTATGACTTGAAAATTCACTATCATCCGGGCAAAGCCAAATACTGTAGAAGATGCACTTAGTAAAAAGAAATGTAGGAGAATCTTGCTTTGTTTATAACTCAACAAGATCAGAGAGAACTGGTACTGGAGTTTGAAAAACTTGAATTGAAAAAGTGGTTCCTTATGAAACAAAGATAGCTTGATTAGCCGCGATATGTTTTGCCTAACCTGCCATTATTGAGGAGATTAATGAAGTAAATGAATGATGAGTTTTTAAAGAGATTTTGTGATGACTTGGACCGCCAAGGCTAAATCAAGGGTTCTAAATTGGAAAAAATTCCGTATTAAAATTTCAAAGGGAGATTGTGTGTTCCAAATGATGCGGATATTGAAAAAAAGGAAAATTTTTAGAGGAAACCCACAAGTTAGTGTTTTGCAAATGCCCCAGGAACACCAAAAATGTACCAAGATTTGAAGTTAGTGTATTGGTGGCCCAACAAGGAAAAAGAGAGATTTGCTGACTTCACTCTAAATGCTTACAATGCCAACAGGTAAAAGCAGAGCATCAGAAACCAGCAGGTTTGTTCAGTTCTTCCTATTCCGGAGTGGGCACAAGTGAGCCCAAACCAATCGGTGCAAGGATCATTCCCCTTTCCAATTCTAGGCGAATAATGCAGGTTCACCAACTGATTGTGCAATCACACACCAATTGAGCCATTGAGCTGGAACTACTCTGTTTTCCATTCAACCCATAGAGGGTCAGAATAGATGAATCCAAAAAGCTACCGCTGGCGAAAACTGACACCATTTTTGGAAAATTTTTATATTTTATTTTATTTTTTTGTTTATTTTTAAATTTAGATTTTGATAAGGATTATTGTTATCATAGCCTAAAAATAGTAATAAAAATTTAATTGTTTTCTTGTCATTTTAGTTTCTTTAATTCGAGTCAGCCTTTTAATTTTCTAAGTTTTTAGATACCGGTTTTAAGAGTGTTTAGTGATTGCTTTATTATAAGCTAGCGGTGACTGAGGCCTAGCTTAGTTGAATAGGAGGTGGACCCAAAAAAAACTTGAATTAAGGCCAAAAATCTTAAGAGTGATAGCTTGGTTGCGGAAGGGGGGAGATTTTGGTCCCTTTTTTGGATTTATGCAAGAATAGGAATGCGCGATGGTACAATTAATTTGGGTGGTATTAAGTGGATGCAGGGTATTTTTGGATGTGTCTTTTTGGTGGGCACAACAGGTATGATTTGGAAAGTTTTAGGGGTTGGGAGGTTCTTTTCACTTATATTGTATAGGTTTTGTCTTTTATTTATTTATTTATTTAATTTATTTCTAATTATTATTATTATATTATTATTTTTATTATTATTATTTATTATTATTACTTAAGGCTCTATTTATTGTAAATAATCTTACCAGGAAAGAAAAGGGGGATGACATAAGGTGGAATAGGTCTAGATCAAAGAAAAATTTGAAAATCGAGTCCTTTATCAAATGCTTTGCTTGGTGGCCTGTGTAATCTATTCCTTGGAAAAGAATTTTGGAGGTCTAAAACCAACCATGCAAGGTTGCCTTCTTTTGGTTCAGATAACAACCCGTGATAAAATCCTTACTTTGATTAACCCACTGATTTTGCATGAAGCAACAATTACTGTTAATTAGGAAGATGCGAATTGGGTCTGTGGGCTCAGAAAATGCAAACTTTTTGTTTAATCAGATTTGGTTTCATTGAGTGTTCCCCAGGGAGGTGATTAATTCATGCATTGTGGAATGGTGTCGGTCGGCAAAAGAGTATAAGAAAACCACGGATGGTGCTCTGTTGTGTTTTGATGTGGATTTTAATGGAGATAAAGGAACTTGACGATCTTTTGAGGGATGGAGAAAACCTCTTTCTAAATTGTTTGGTTGATTCTTTTGTGTGTTTGGTTCTCCAAGGGTGTTTAGTAACTCGATGATTACTTTTGGAATTTTTTTAGAGAACTTTGAATGGCCAAAGGAATGTCAGCTTGTTGTTTTGGTCTAGTAATGCTTGTGGTTGTTGGAAGGATACAGCGTAAACATTTCCCAGGCCCGCCCTGAGAATTTTCGCGGCCCAAAAAGCCGATAATCACTAAATAAATTTCTGGGGCTCTTCAATATTTTTTTTTCATATGAATGAAAAAAAAAATTTGAAATAAAGGACAAAAAGATTTGTTGTAAATCACAAAAATACTTAGCTTACATTATAAACTAATAAGTATCGTTTGATTCCTCAACATCTTCTTGTGTTTTAAGAAAAGAAAATAAATCAATCATACTTGCAATAAATCTAAATTTTTTTACAAAATCATTTTCAATGAATAATAGTGCTAATTATTTTAAATGGGACCTTTTAATTTTTTTAATAGATCAATTTATTTTAAGTTAATTTGGGCCTTTCCTTAATTTTTTTGGACTTAAAATATGCCTTAATAATATTAGAACTAACCTATAATAAGAGAGAACCCCTTTTTGGGATCTATTTCAATGGACTAACAATGCTAAATTTCTTTGAATGGATTTAAATTTTTTAAATGGTTCAAATTTATTTTAAGTTAGTATGGGCCTTTTTTTAATTTTTTTTTAAGACTTAAAACATACCTAATTTTAACACTAAATTATATAAGAGGGCCCCATTTTTTAGTCTATTTTGGAGGGGCCTAGGCCATGGCCTTGTGGCCTATAAAACCCTGGCGGGCTGAACATTCCCCTTTGATGACTTCATATTTTAAAGTTTTTCTTGTTTTTTTTTATAATTTTATTTAATTATACATCTTGTAGTTTTTTTTTTACTTGTTAATTTAAAAAAAAATTACATAAATCAGTAGCTGTTAGAATAACAGGTAAAATAAACATGCCTACATAAGATATATAAATTTTAAACATAACATATGCTTGTTTTATACATGTTTTGTAATAAACAATGCTATTTGGATGTCTTGTTTGTCACTAATGTCTTTATAAACATTTGTTAGATATTCAAGTTACCTAAAAATGTTTGTACAAACGATAATGTCTGTCCCTTGTTGTTCCTCGTGTGTATGATTCTTGTCTTTAAAAAAATTTCTTGAACCAATTCTCACATACGTGCATCGACCTCAACATCATTCCAAAATTATGCTTAATCTTTGTTATACTCAGGCTGAAAAGTAACTAATGCCAAAAGGAAAATGCTGAAAATAGCACAATAAGTTTAGTAAATACACCTGGAAAGGAACTTTGTGTCCCAGGAAAACCAACGCTGCTTAAAATGTTTCAAATGACATCAAGATATGACAACTGGTCTGTACTCATGAAATTTCGTTGCCACAATCAGAATGAACAGGCGTTTTGGGAATATGAGTAAAACAACATCAGGAAGGAACACAGTACACATCCACACATAATAAAATTTATTTCAAAATGGTCTCTGAAGATGAACAAAGTGATATGCCATAAACAACTACCTCTAGATATTGTAGTGGAAAAGGAACCACAGCAGAAGGGTTTTTTTGACCTCTCTGGCAGAACCACCTAAAAACAACAGTTCCTGCTTAAGTATTTTTCTTTTCCATTCTAGCTTAAAGAAGACATAAGTGGAATAAAAGAATGTAAAAATTAAATAATTAAAGAACTGTACTCACTTTGATGGTCAACTCGTCTACTACTGTCTCAACAATAGGACATCCAAAAAAGCTAAAGTTGAGGTAACGCCTACCATCAAATCACTCAAAAAGGAAGTCTTGCAAATGGTAGTCCTTATCCAATGACAAAAGTGGCCTTCCAACCTTCCATTACAAAGAAAGCATTTTTGGCGATCTAAAAACTTCATTTTCCGTCGGCTGAGTAGTAGAATTGGCGACTAAAAATGGAATTAGTCGTCAAAATTGAACACTTTTGCCGACTAAGAGTTTTAGTCACCGAATACAGGGGTTTTAGCGACTAAAGACAGTTTAGTCCGCGAATGTAGGGATTTTAGCGACTAAAGGTTGTTATAGTAGCCAAAAGGTGACGGTTTTTTGGTGACTAAAATAATTTAGTAAGCCAAAAGTGATGGTTTTTGGCGACTAAAAACATTTCGTCGCCGATTATAGGTGTTTTGCCGACTAAAAAACAGATTGGTCGCTGAAAATGAAGCTTTTTGGCTACAAAAAAAAAATTAGTAGCTAAAAAACAGTCAATTGGTGACTAAAATTCAGTTTAGTAGCCAAAAGGGGACGTTTTTGGCTACTAAAAACAGATTAGTCGCCAAAAACTGCTTATTTTTAATTTGAACTTATTTTTTTAGCGACAAAAAATTAATTAGTAGCCCAAAATAATAGAATTGGCGACTAAAATAATGGATTTAGTCACCAAAAAGTTGGCCCTAAATTTTTTTTATAATAAATAATTTATTTTTTACATAAATATATGAATAAAATAATTATATTTACATATATAAGTTTTGGTTAAATACCGGTCAATTACTATATAAATAATATATATTGCATATATATTCATATGTGATGTTGAAGACCACTCGCCACCACCGCCACCACCACCACCTGCCACCACCACCCACCACCACCCGCTACCACCTACCTGCCACCCACCCGCTGGCATAGTGGAGGGAGTGTGTTGCTAAAGATGTTGGCGGTTCGAATGTGGGAGAGGTTGGCGGTTCGAATCTCAGAAAAAGCAAAGAAATTGATTTTTTTTTTCTTCACGAAGGACCTTTGGTGACAAAAATTTTAGTCGCCAAAAGTGTTTATTTTGGGCGACTAAACCGTTTAGTCGGCGATTCATGGACTATTGGCGACTAAAAGATTAGTCGCCAAATATGTGATTTTAAAAAGTGTAAATCACTATTGGCGACTAAAAAGTTGGTAGCTAAAGAGCTATTTTTTGCCGACTAAAAAAATTTTAGTCGCCAATACCTCCGGCGACCATATATACGCGACAAAAGGGGCGATGAAAAAAATTAGTCGCTGAAAGTAAAAACTCGACTTTCGGCGACTAAAAACGGACTTTTGGCGACTAAAAATTTAGTCGCCAAAAATGCTTTTTCTTGTAGTATTCAAATAAAGGATATTGTGGCTCTATTTCCAATTCTGATTGCAAAGAAAAAGTCATTGGTATAGAGAATGTTTTTAACAATAGCATTAAGAAAATTTTCCATTTTCTCATTTTTTAATTATGAAGTGTTTTAATTTTTTTTTTTTTTTTTAACATATAGCCCAATAGGTAGGTTTGAGATTTAGAATTATTTTTTGGAGTGGGCTTAGGACAAACATGGAGACCCTTTGGTTGGGCTAAAATTGGGTGGATACAAAATTCATTACTATGTAGTGTTAGCACAGTTTAAACGACCCTACGCTTGTCCACCCGTACTTGCACCCTGATTAGCTAACATCGTTGATGAAATGGAAAAAGTACTATAATGTCTTTTATCTGATTTGATAATTTTCAGCACAACCAAAAAAAAGACAGTCATGTGATCACCCTCAAATCTAGGGCCAGCCCTAAGTTTCGAGAGTTTAAGTCGAAATAATTTTTCGGGAGTTTTTTAAATATTCATAAAATAAAATAAAAAAATTACTCTATTTAGTTTAGAGTTTTCAAAAATAATTTTTTGAATTTATAATTCGTATTTTTTATATTATTTTATATTTGGTAAATTTAAAAAAAATATATTCACAAACATTATACATTTTAAATGTATCTAAATTAGGTATATTTACAAAATAAATAAAAAAAATTACGTAAAATATTAAAAAAATTACTAAAAAAACACATAATTGAGTCATAAAGAGAGTTTTTTTTTTTAAAAAAAAGGCTAAATAGATTTGGATTAACGACTAATACATATACAATTATTTTATATTTTATTTTTTCAATCGGGCTAACATCTAACACTTACAAAATATTTTTTGATTGGGCCTAACAAAATTTTTTGGGGCCCTTAAACTGGCCTAAATTAATAAAACAAAATTGGGTCATTTTGAATTTTTAATATAGTACAAGACTAATGAATTTAGGAATATTTTGTCACCCTAATTTTTGAGAACCAAGACACATGTTTTACCGGCCTTAACCCAGAACTGACCCTGCTCAAATCGTTATGACTTTTGCAAACAACACAACCAAATACAATGAGATCAATCCAAGCACAAACAAGGAGAAAATGTCATGCATTCAACAACCATCTCTAACCTATTACCATTTCCAAATCACAATACTTGAACCACCTGGTTGTGTTTGGTTCTGCCCAGTAATTTTTGAAATTCCATTTTGGCCTCAAATTTTTTTAAAATTCAATTTATATCTTTGATATTTTTGAATATTTTCATTTAACACCTTGAAAAATTCTAAAATTTTACAAAATATGTTCCTAGCTAAATTGATCCTTCTGAGTTTATTTCTGGAGTCCTTTTTTTTTTTTTTTTAAATTCAGACTTGAAAATTTTGTGTTGCTTATTTGAAGAACATAAGTCAATCGATGGTCAACATGAACACCATTTTTCATCCCCAGTTTTCAAAATTGAGCAAAAAGAACTATAAGAACTAAAGTATCCAAATACAAGTGTTATCAGCCTCACAAGATGTGTAGGACTTGGTTGAACACGCATATGAAGAGTTGGCAAGCCTAGAAGATGAAGAGGAAGTGAATAGAGCCCAAAAGGCTACTTTGAGAGATACAAGAAGAAGAGATAAGACATCCTTGTATTTGCTCTATCAAAACATTGACGAGTCAAGCTTTGAAAAGATAACAACCTCTAAAGAAGCATGAAGTATTCTTCTGAGTTCACACCGAGGAATTGAGAAGAACATGAAGATTTGACTGCAAGTATTAAAAGGTGAGTTCGAATTGTTTTAGATGAAGGACCATGAGTCAATTTTCGAGTACTTTATGAAGACTTTGACCATTGTGAACTAGATCAGATGATATAGAGACAAGATGGATGATGTTTGAGTAATAGAGGAGATCTTGAATCCCTATGTTTAAAGTTTGAACACGTAGTTGTTACAGTAGAGGAATCAAAGGACTTGAACACCATGATTGTGGATAAGTTGATGGCTACGTTGCAGATCCACAAGCAAAGAATAAACAAGAGAACTTTCGCAAGTTCCCTAGAGCAAGCTCTTTAGTCAAAGTTGACGTTTAGAGGAAACAGATAACAACAATATGGAACACCATAGATGAACTAGATCAGATGATATAGAGACAAGATGGATGATGTTTGAGTAATAGAGGAGATCTTGAATCCCTATGTTTAAAGTTTGAACACGTAGTTGTTACAGTAGAGGAATCAAAGGACTTGAACACCATGATTGTGGATAAGTTGATGGCTACATTGCAGATCCACAAGCAAAGAATAAACAAGAGAACTTTCGCAAGTTCCCTAGAGTAAGCTCTTTAGTCAAAGTTGACATTTAGAGGAAACAGATAACAACAATAGGGAACACCATAGAGAAGTGGAGGAAAAGGCCGTAGACAAGTTGGAAGAGGCTCCAACATGGTGGAGGGGGCAAAAGTCAACAGTTGATTGACAACAGAGAACAACAAGTAGTTGTTCCACGAGACAGATAACAGGCGGTTGTTCTGCAAAATAGAAGAGGTCAATAGGTGGTTAACAACACAGAACAACATGTAGTTGTTCGAAGAGACAAAAGTTAATTGATGGTTGACAAGAGATGACAACAGATGGTTGTTTCACGAGAAAGAGGTCAACAGTGGGTTAACAACAAATGAAAAGGTTGTGACAGAAGCTACGTGCAGTGCTACAATTGCAACGAGTATGGTCATTACAATAGTGAATGCATAAAAGAGGTCCAATGTTATAACTGCAATCAGTATGGGCACTATAGTCATTAGTGCATGGAGGAAGTAACATACAACAAAGTTGACGAGTATGTAAACTTTGCAATGAGTGAAGAGGTGATGTTGCTCATGTTTTACAATGATGTTGTAGAAAAAGACAATGGAAGAAGCATTGTAGACGATCAAGCTTAAGGGGTGATGTTATGAAATAAGCTTTCTTTTCTACCATCCTAGCTAGGAGGTAGGAGCAAAAATACAGAAAACTAGGGTTCAAGGATTTCTACATGTTACTATAGGTTTGATGGTTGAAGAGTTCAAGCTTGAATGGTTTTATTGTAGTTTATTTAATACATTCATATTATCAATGTTTAGCTATAAATATGTAAGATTATGCTAGTTCTAAGTGTGGGAGTTGAGAAGAAAAATAAGAAAGTGAGAGAGTGTGAGAGTTTGAGAGAAAGTATTCTTATCTCCATGTATTTGTTTCAGTTTATCTAAGTGAAATAAAAGTTTGTTTTTCGCATTATAAATCATTTCTCTAAATCAATTTTTGAAATAGCATAAGTGGTTTGAACATTCCACTCCCACCAACGCCTCTGCCATAGTTCTTTCATCGCACACCATCACTGTAAATGCGATATTCCCTCTCTAATCTCTCATTTCTCTATAGGTTTTCTCTTAAATCAATTTTTTTGGTTAAAATCATCATCCATTTGGATCTACGTACAGAGGG